ACCACCGTGGGTTCTTCTGACCTCCTCCTGCAGAACCCAACCAGAGCCAGAGTGCCCAGGGAGGCCGACACAGGGGCACAGAGCAGACAGGGGTGCGGGGAGAGCACAAGTGCGTGGCTATCCCCCCCGCGGGGGAGCCCCGCACCCTCAAAGCCACCTGCGACCTTCTGGAAGAGCTGAAGAAGCTCACTCAAACTTCTGACCAGGTACAGGCACAACAGAGGGCCTCGGACGTTGGAGGGGCTCTACTGAGGATCAACTGGACTCTGCAAAAATAGCCAGAGGACTGCTTGGGGCTGCAGAGGGCTAGAGTGTCCCCCTCGCTAGCATTCCACGCGGTCAACGCCCGGTCACACTCGTTTGCCGCTGCAGCTGGACATGCAGGGTCCGACGCAAGGCCTGTGTGCATCTGTCCATGGCATTTCAACTTTTCCGTGACCCCCCACCTAGACCCAAAGCGTGTCAGAAAACTGGCCTGGCCACGCAACACATCTGAAGCCCATGGTGGGGTTTTCAGTCGAACTGCATTAAAAGAAATAATAATAATAATAAACTGCAAATTCTCCTGGTCTCAGGAGTCAGATTCAGCCTTGGGCCAAGCAGGGCTGAGAGTTGTGAGCGGCCTGGTAGAACCGAAATAAAACTCCCCGAGAAAGAAGCAAAGCTCACAGCCCCAGGGAGCAAGCAGCCCAGCGCCCCCTCCCCAGCCCTGCAACTCCCCAGGCCTGATTTCCCAGGTCTGTGTCCTTGAACCTGAAATGCTCTAAGCTGTCATTAGCAGATAGCAGATACAGACTTGTAGGTTCCTGACTCCCAAGGAGCGGTGCAATCTTGCCGAGGGCTCACCCCAAGGAAAGAGACTTGAAAGCTGCTTCCTCCCCCACCTGGCCCCAGTTGAACTGCATCAGAGGAAAATACCCCATCCGACCTGTTTCAGTCCAGCTCACTCACTATTCTCTGCAGCCGGGAGCCAGGCAGCTCACCTGCCCGGGGGCTGGGCGGGCTGGTACCAGAGAAGGGAGGGCCGCTTTCATCCCGCAGGAAAACGACCTGTCGAATGGCTGTCTGTCATCACTGTGGACGCTGACCCTGACTGGCCTGGCCCACCTCCCCTGGAACTCACGCTGGCCCCACACACTGTCCTGGAGCAAACCCATGTGACCACTCTCCCCCACAGCCCCGCAGCGGCCACAGGAGGGAACGAGAAGGTTGGAGTGGACGGAGTCTTTTCTAACCCCACGGTGGCATCTGAAGTCCAAAGAATTCACATCATTTGTGGGAGCAGGGAGGGCTCAGAGTATGAATTCAGTCAGCATCGCTGAAATTAGAGTAAAGGAATTTGGTCACGTTCTTTCTTGCAGAGGAACCCTATGGTGGGGTATAATTGGAGTATGTGCCAATTTGGGGGGCATACCAACAAGCTACTTTTTACCAAGTTCAATTATTGGGGGGGGTGGGAAGTGACTCAGAGGGATGAGAGGGGGAAGCTACAGGTCACAGCAGAGCTTCAGACGAGAGGCCGGTGGCCCGGCCCAGGGGGACTGCGGGGACAGAAAAAGACAGGCTACCTCTGGGCCAAGAGTCGCGCACTCAGCCAGTAGAGAGTATCCGCTGTGTGCCAGACTGTTCTAGAAGCTGAAAATTCAGGGAGAACAAAGGCAGCCCAGGTCTCCACTCCTTGTGGGAGAGAGACCTCACCGAGCCAACGCACCAGGACCCGACCTGTGTCACCGAAACTGCGACCGAGGCCGGGTGAAGCTGTGTGGACGGTTAGGGCCTCGACCCAGGCCCAGACAGCCCTGCTCCTACCTCAGCTCTGCTGCTCCTCAGTGACTGGAGGCACATTATGTATCTGCCTAGGCCCCAGTTTCCTCAAGAAAGTGGAGATAAGAACAGGATCTCGTTCAGAGGAGGTTTTGGTCATTCACATTCCAAAGGCAGGTAGCAGCCGCCTGCAGTGAGGCCTTGACGAGTGTGAGCGTTTCCTACCTCAGGTGCAAAGACCTGGTTAAAGGAAGTGGAGGGAAGCTGGTCTACCCAACTCGAGGCGGGGTGCCCGCTCCCTGCAGCAACTCAAGGCCCAGGTCTAAGATGTAGCAGGTTCACGCTTCATGTCAAAATGCAGCCACCAAGCCTCCCTGGCCTAGGGGTTAAGTCTCAGCGCTATGAAGCTGTCCCCAGCCACTAAGGCACGAGTTCAATCCCCGGCCAGGGAGGGACCCCGAGGGCGCAGCAGACCTCTCCCGTCTCCCTGCTGCTCCCCTCAGCAGTGGATTTCAGTGGATCCCCCTGTTCTGCTCCCCACTCTGTCTCTCATGAATCCTCTCATCCCCCACACTTCTGGCCTGTACCCCAGATCTTGTATGCACAAATAAATAAATCTCAAAAAAAAAAAATGCAGCAACCTTACATGGAAAAGCCAACTTTGGTTCTAAGGCAGGAGCGTCAGGTGGGAACCGCCTCCCAGTGTTAGAAGCTCAGCTTGGTACTTGACGATCAAAAGCCCCTTTGCATTTTCTGACACATCCTTGGAGCAGACACTCTGTGGTTACATGACACAGATGGTTGACAGCTGTCAGTCATCTTGCGGATCTCTATCTGAGCACATAGTCTGGGGGTCAAAGTCTAGGGGGTCCCTTTCCCACATGCTAGACCACACACGGCACAAAAGAAGGCAAACATGTGGTATCTGTAAAACTGTTTAAAAATCTATTTTAGGCATCGTGCTGGCTGCATTCTAGATTTCTATTAAAATGCAAGGAGAAACCCGCCCCCTCCACATTAGAAAGAAGATTAGAGTGCAGATGAAGGGAGAAGGTCCGCAGGCACACAGGCATTTGGTTACCAGACACCCCCTTGCGTCTGCCCCCAATCACTGTGGGGCAGCTCCAGGCTGGGCCCCCAGGCTGCACGCACAATGTGGGACTGGGCACAAAGGAAGGAGTAGCAGGGTGATCTGAGTGCTGTCCAGCACTGTTTGGCCCTCAGGCTCCTCAAGTTCTACATTTTCTTTGAAGCTAATAATGCAGCAAAGTAGAAAGACCTTTAGAGGACTTCCCAGCAAGGCTGGCTCAGATCTGCAGCGGGGAGCCACGGACTCGGGTGAGCGCCGGGCCTGACCCCGCGGGACTGACTTTATTTATCAAATTCCTGTCAGCCCCGAGGTCACCCTGGGAATGAGACACTTGTGCCAAGTGCCTCGAGGCGCTCGCAGGGAGCTGCTCTCAGGGAGAGGCCTAGCTTTGATTCAGGGGCTGAGGATGAACGCTCAATCTCTTGCACTTTAAACATTGCATGTCTACCGCTCTCCCTCTGCAGTTAGGGTGAAAGAAGTCTGGAGGCCAAGCCCACCACACAAGGGCACACCCATGCACTTGGCCCTAAACCCAGAGACTGGATGGAGGCAGGAAAACTAGGACAGGCCTTTCCCCAGGCACCTCCTGGAGGGAAAAAACAAAACCACCCAACGAAAGAAGCGACTGGAGCTGTCTCCTCCGCCCGTTTCCAGCAGGGCCGTGTCCAGAGGCCAAGGGGCCTGGTGTCACCAGCGGAGAAAAAGCAGGCCAGGAGGAAGTGCAAGGAAAGGAGAGTGGGGGTCACTCCCTCCAGGCCCCCACGCTGCTTCAGCGCCCAGGCCAGAGGAAGGGGCCGGGCCGTGGCAGCGCGGCAGGCACAGAGCAACAGCGCCACCTGCAGGGCGACTGGCGAACTGCGCCCGAGCGGAAGGCGGCGCGGGGACGCGGCTTCGTGTGGGAAGTTGGGTGTCCACGCAGAATCGGAAAATTTAGGTCCCAGAGCTGATTCTGCCTAAGGAGCCGACCTGGGCGCCTAAGCAGCGACCGTGTGGACGGGCTGCCGAGACCCGCGCTGTTACTGCATGTATGTCCCGGGTTCCCCATCTGAACGGAAGCATGCCCTGCCTTGTAGAGCTACTGTGAGATAAAGTAGAACAGGACCTAAGTGAGCGGCTCGTTTACAGACCGGAATTCTTTGGTGTCTGGGATCTGCCTCACAGTAGAGGAGGAGCTGGCTGGGGAGGGGGCAGGGAGGGGCAGAGAGGACGCTGGAAAACCTGGTTGCTGGGCACAAGACGCCAATCGCCGGGAGGTGGAACGTGGTGCGGGGCGCCCTTTGGCTTTGCTGCCCTTGTTTTTAGCGACGGGCCCTGGAAACACTTAGAAGAAACGGGCCACGCGCTGCAGTTTTTATGATCACCGCATGAGCATTAGGTGTCCGGCGGGCTGTTCTCACGCACTCTGGTCTTTCCCTCTGCCCACTACCCTCCTCCCTGGGATGGGTGCCAACGTCAGGCTGACCTGGGGAAACGTCTTTAGTGGTGAAACATCAGCTCGATGCAAAACCCCAATATCCCCAAGGCCTAATCAAAGAGAAGTCAAAGGAGCGCCCGGGGCACCCAGCGCCTGCTCCGAGCAGCTGTGAGGTCACTCTTCCCCGCGAGAGAAAACTCGTCCCAAGCTTCACCTCTCCCAGCACCACAGGGTACCGACGCTGGGGGCGGCGCGGCAGGGTCAGCGCAGCACCAGGGTACCAGGCTCGGCCCGCTCTAGCCCCGCCCACAAGCCCCGCCCCCGTCCTGGTAGCCACGCCCACCACCTAGCCCCGCCCCCAGCCGCGGCACCGACGGGGCGGCTCCGAGGGGCCGGGCACAGCATGCGCACAGTCGCGTCGTCGCAGGCGGGCGGTGTCCTGGAGTCGCCACAGGACAAAAAGGAGCCAAGTGTCCCGAGGAGGCGTGGTTCAGACCGCGCGGGCGCTTAAGTACGAAACTGACTACGACGGGGAGCGGTTCCACCTGCGCTGGGCGGGGCCTCACCTCCCGAGAGGCGGGCCCCTCAGCCGCAACGCCAGTCCCAGCCCTTCAACAACCACACCCTGTCGGGGCCGGCACCGCCCACTGCCGCCCGGAATGCGCATGGCTGCTGCGCCGCGCTTCCGCCCACAACCAAGATGGCCGCGAGGCGGGCCCGGCGGGCGGAAGTGGCCCGGCAGCGGCTGACGGGTCCGTCATGGCGGCCGTGGCCACCTCCCCCGCGCTGAAGCGGCTGGACCTGCGCGACCCCGCGGCGCTTTTCGAGACCCATGGAGCGGAGGAGATCCGCGGGCTGGAGCGCCAAGTGCGGGCTGAGATCGAGCACAAGAAGGAGGAGCTGCGGCAGATGGTGGGCGAGCGGTACCGGGACCTGATCGAGGCGGCCGACACCATCGGCCAGATGCGCCGTTGCGCCGAGGGGCTGGTGGACGCCGTGAAGGCCACGGACCAGTACTGCGCGCGGCTCCGCCTGGCCGGCCCGGCCGCCTCCCAGCCGCCCGCGG